TACAGGGTCCCTTTCAAACCCTTGGGCCCTAGGCAGCTGCATATGGTCACCTTATGATTAATACTGCTCTTGCCAAGCCTTGCACTATTTCAAGTAAATAAAAAAAAAAAATTTGATAATGTACAGTATTTCTAAAATTACATTAGAAAATATCTGTATGTGGGTATTTAGTGCTTGTTTCTTATCTTGCCACTATTTGTAATTGGCTGGCTGCAACACACTAACGTGCTTGTAGCTACTGTAATGCAGTAGTGTCTGTTTAATAATGTTTGTTTCTATAAGTACATATGTAATTTAAATGAACAATTCACATAACAGAAATAAGCATCTTAAGTTACACAGGTATGTTTCTAACACAGCACAAAATCACTGTTTAAAACACTGTATACACTGTTGCTATATCTGCTAAGGAAAATCACAGGGTCAATTATATGTATGCTAGGGTGCACCATTTTTACCAGCAAGATGTGATTGCCAGCATGACAAGTTACCTAGCCTATACAGGTATTCTATGCTTTACCAGCATGTGGCTAATCTGTGGATGCTCAATATCTTTGCGACCAGATGTTATTGGTGGTCAGTATTGGTTGTTAAAATGGTGACAATGTTGGAAATTGTTGATATATAGTAGCCTCCTCCAGCTACTAGCTGTTGTTGGCAATTCCTTATGGTAGCTATTTTCCTACAGGATTGCAAACAAGCCTTAAGTCTGGTATGTCCATTATACCTTACTGCAAAAATATAGCATGGTATATATTGTCCCGGTGAGAGGCAGAGGGATTGATCCGAGCACTTTAAGAGAAGCCTGTGTTTTTAGAAGTTAGGAGAAGGTATCTTTTAGTAACAAAAATGATTTTTCAATGCACTGTAATTCAAATAAAGCTAAGAATGTTTATATGGCATATTTGCATGTTATTGCTAGTGAAGATTTAGTATATGTCAAAATTTTTTATAATTTTAATTTAATTAAAACCTATTTAATAAAGCATTAAGATAAAAAGAATTCAAAATAAATGAATCTGCTTTTACCTGTAGCATACCTTGTATACAGGATATCGTACCATATGTGTTCTGTAGTTATCGTTAATCAAGTATATAGTCAGTTGCAGAAAGATGTCTTATATGTATAAGGTTGTTTTAAAGACAAGGATTTGATTGGATTTCTGGTAATGGAGGGAATGAACATAAAATATTGACAGCAGTGTTTTGGTTATGGTGAGTGAATTTATTAATAGACAAGGCAGACAATTTGTTCTCTTAATGGTGCTGACATTTTGGCAATTTAATCTTAGATACTATTAACTTTATCTCAACTGTGTCCATGTATGATTTTTTTTCTCAAGACAAGATGCTGTAAGCATGGTCCACATCTAAATTTCTTTCCTTTCTCATTTATTTTATACATCATGGCGACTATTCAGTTCAATGGTTAAATCACATGAGAATATATGTTCTGATTTCTGTTATATCAATAACATATTCTCACATATTCTCTTGTTAGAATTCAAACATTAATAACATAATTGTAAATTGAACATATGGTCGGAATGTAATATTACCATATTATAAATTATTGATAAAAGCCAGAATTTGAATATACAACCAATTTTTACAATCCGTTAATAAAAAAGACACAATTGAACTGGAAAGGGTTCACATTTGGGTAAGACAATTAGTTAAACCATTTAAAAGTATTCAAAGTAAAAATACAACTGTAATTTAATGTTTTCACTATTAAAAAAAGATGCTTACAACAGATTAACAGTCATATTTATATTTTATGACGTTGTTGCAAAAGACTAGAATGAATACACTGATGATGGAGCCCATCCTGGACACGTGTCGTCCTAGGAAGAGGGATGATATGAGCCTTGCTAATATTAAAAGTTATTATTGGTTCAACCATTTATGCTCACACATAATCCCAGTCTTTCAGTATTTGTGGTTTACATCTATGGGACACCATGGGGGAGGGGCATATGCTATTAATTTTATAGAGACTGATGCAATAAATTGTCTAAACTCAACAATGTACATATATTAGATTTATATAGTTGCATAGTTACATAGCTTGACATGCATCTATCAAATTCAGCTTTTCTCACATTTCTTTTTGCTGCTGATCCAAAAGAAGGCAAAAACTGTCTGAAGAAAATCCAATTATGCAACAATCTAGGAGATAATTTCTTATTAACCCCAGTGGCATTGTGCATCGGTGACTAGTCATGATAAAGGCTTTCTGTGTTTTGTTATATTCTGGTTCTTTAATCTATTTTGGTTTTTGGTCTACTGTTTGTGTTACTTCCTTGTTACACATCAATGTACTACACTCTACAAACACAGGCTAAGTGGGTGGTCTAAATTGTATAGATTTAGATTAATCTATTCATTTTGGGGAGGTACTAACTATTCACCTTCACTTATCCATTATTTATTCTGGATGGAGGTGGTAACAGGATCCTAGGAGGAGGTCGCCTGGCTCAATTGTGCTGTTCGGAGGTAATTTGTTAAACAATATTCAGAGTGATTGTGCACAAGTTGTTAGACAAAAATTGGTCGGAGGAACCGCACTCACTCCCAACAGCCACAGGTGCTCTGGAACAGGACCAGCAATCCCAATACGACAAGGCAATAAGAAAGATTCACAGGCACTCCAAATGTGAAAGCCGCAGGCAGATTTATTGCAACAAAATGAATAGCAACGTTTCGATCTAACAGGAGGTCTTTGTCAAGCTAACAGTTAAATGCAAAAAACATCCCCTCAGTGTATACAAACCCTGGAATGAGAGGACCGAGGGGCCCACCATCAACCAGTCCGGGAGCAGAAGGTGAGGAACACACAAGGCAGGCACTGGGCCGTATAACCAACAATGGGGCCAGCACCACACTGTAAAAGCAGACCCTGTGTGGCCAGTTCCCCCGGAAGACCGGCGTGCATCCCACCATTTCCACTCTGGTCAACGTGGTAGTCCCATCTCCAATCACCCCCTCCAGGTAGGCCCACGATCCTTCCCAAACTGTTGTATTTGGATCAACTTCGATCGTCGCACCAGTGGGACAGTGTGGTGGGTAAGACCGAGGTGTCTAAAACTGCTGACTACCATGCAGCAGTGTGGGCTGATGGTTAAACACCCTGATCTGACTGTGGACCCAATGGTTTTGTGGCCAGTGGCCAGATGTTACATCCCCTCAGGTAGGTATTCTTATTGGTCCCTGCATCCATGCAACCCCACTCTCAAATATATTATGCAGCCCAGGGAAACAACTTGTGGAGCCCCAAGTCTCCTGCCCTCTGCCCGGTACACCAGGGTGGGAGTTCACCCAGTCGGAATCATTTCTAGAGCACCGGGGCAACAAATTAGAATGGGAGAAGGTGAACTTCTTGTGGTCTCTGGCATTCGGGATAAGGGAAGAAGGCTCAGTATCGATCATCTCTTTGCTTCAGGTGTGAGATGTAGTGATGTGGGCTCCATGAGGTGATAGATGGTCCCATAGGCCACATTGGGAGGGACCCAAATGTCCTCTATTAATCAAGGTCACCCAGCCCTCCCCGTCTCAGGGGGGAAACACCTTGCCCTTGGGTGGGCACTCTAGTGTGGGGTAGAGGTTGTATGTGGTGGAGGACCCTACAGGATCCAATTTGGGACTCTCACTGCAGGGAGCTTCAATGCTTTTAGAAATCTGGGGGCAGAATCCCTTCGGACCTGTAGGCAGAATGGAAAGCCCCATTTATTAGGGGATCCTCTTCTCCTGGAGGAGGTGGGTTAGGGGACTCAGGGCCCTGTCGGTGTCCAAGGTAAGTACGAGAGAGATCCTTCCCTAACCATGCACTTTGAAGAATACAGTAAGGTTAAAATATGTTGCGCTTTTTATCCTGAACTTTTAATTTGCTATTTGTTGCTGCTATTTCCTGTATTTTGCACTTTATTTTGAAGTTAATTGAATTTAATATACTTCAAGTATCCCTGCTTTTGTTGAAGAAGGAGCTACTGAATTAAATAACATATCAAAGCAGCTTTACTTATTAATAAGCCAACATAGTCAGAGCCTGCTATATATGGCACTAGGGAGTATGAGGGACCCATAACCTCTGCTTTTTAATGTTTTTGTGTGATAAAACAGTATTATTCTATGTGAGCTTTTCTGATTTGCATATTAATCATGGGTGTATGATCAGGATTTTCCTGTAATAAGTATATCTCAGAGTGTGTTGGTGATTACTATTGCACACCCTGTATTTTGTATTATTTGTGATATTGTATTGAGAGTCTTGTGAGTGAGTATAGGTTCTAGGGTAGCTGCACTTCCACTTTCATAATTAGCGTCAATCCACCCATATTCCATTGTTTTTCTTGTTTTATAAATTCTATTTAAAGTCACGTTTTTAAATTTACAGTTAAGCAAATATAATTTAACCCAAATTATTATTAGTATTAATTATAAAGCACCTACATTATCCACCACTCTGCGCAACAGAGACACTAACAAATAGTTGCAGTAAAAAAGGAACATGCAGGAACAGAAGGTTTTGAGGGCTTGCTCAAATGAGTTTGTAGTCTAAGAAAGTAATGCATCCAAGTATGTATATTGGTAGCATTAACGAGACACTCTGGGCACCAATGCAAATTATATGTGTTTGATAGATTTTGTCCTCATTAATATGCTCAAATCTTTATAATTTTTGCAGAAAGAAAAAACATTTTTTGCAGAATGTTGCACCATAAGCTTGCCGTCTTGCCCATGCCTTTTCATACCAGAAATACTTTCTTTTTAAATCAAATGTATGCACACAGTCTCAGCCCAAACAGCACTGAGTGAGTTAATTCATAACCTGGCTGCAGTCAGAGAAACAGATATTGAGATCCTTACTATTGTCTCTGGGTGTCCTCAGCTTCTAGTTCATGTTGTTCTGTAGTTCAGATCATGCAGCCACAGACAGTACTGAATTATCTGAACTACATAACAACATTTTGCAGTAATATTTTGCAGAATGCTTCAACATAAACCTGCCTCCTTACATGCCCCCTGATTACAGAAAATATTTTCCTTATACATATGCAGGGGGCATGTAAGAAGGCAGGTTTATGTTGCAGCATTTTGCTAAATATTGCTTATTTTATGTAAAAATCAAAAAGTTTTAGCATGCAAAAAAAAAACATATTAATGAGGCCACAACCTATCAAATGCATTAAAGTTTTATTGTGGCCTGAGTGCCCCTTTAAGTTTAAAAGGACAACATGTATATAAAATAATAAAAATTCATGTAATACTTTAATCTTATTAATATTTTTAGAAATAGAAAATGAATTTGATCAAACCAATAATTATAAAGAACTTTAATTTTAAAGATTATTTGCTAGCAGCATGAACCAAATTGTCCAATCATGCTTCATTATAAATGATATCCACTAAGGATATAACTATGCCATCATTAGAATTTATGAAGTACATGAAGATAATTATTTAATCAGAAATAATAAGTAAACTTGTAAGACTGCAGTGCAGATTATATATCAAGTGCAACATTTATTTCATATAATGTGTAAATGTTAATGCTAAAAGTGAACATTTTAATTTAGTCTAAGTCGTATGATAATTGCAATGTTATAATATTCAAAAACTCATTGTGAAAAATCCAATTCAAGCTTTTAAAACATTATAACTGGAGTTAAAAAGCACAGCAAAACAATTGTGAAGATGCATGGTGCAAGAATAATAATACTAATAATAATAATAATAACATAAAATAATGTGATATTACTCTAGTTTACATCACGTATAAAAGACCAAACAGAGTTTATTTTCTATGACTCTCCAAATGTAGAATCAAACAGCATTATTCACTAAAATCCACATTTTCACAAATGAAATCCAAATGGAAAAAAGCAAAGCAAAAAAAGGTTGATTTAGAATAATTATACAACATGCAAAAATTTTTGCCTCAGTTTTGCCATTAAGATTTACTTCAAATAAATCTGGAGTTTAGTGAATAACCCTGACAGACTTAACTAGAACAATCTGACTATGAATTAACCAGATAAATATGCTTGATCAGAACATTGTCATTAAGTAGATTAAGGTACTAAAGATTTCGGGGTAGCATTTGTTATAGAATAATACATAGCATTTCATAATTTTGTAATATGGAATTGCTATCACTAAAATATTGCACTGATTCCTAGTAAAACATATTTTCTATTTATGTGAGTATTATTTGAAGTTCGCTAAGACACATAAACTAGCTCTAAACATGTTAGAGAAAAGGGTGGTTTACAGATTAATATTCATTTACATTAGATAGGAAACTTGGAACTATGATAACTTAAATATATGTACATTTCCTTTTTAACAATAACCATGCATATATTATTCCTTGAGAAGTAATACAAGGGATTAGATACTCATGTGAGATTGAGCATTTACAAAAATTTAAAAAAGCACTTTCAACAACCAAAAAAGACAAGTGACAACAGAATTCGAAGGGACTGTGGCTACCATTAACGTAAAGACTTTTCATCTGACAAAACCAATTTCTGGATATCCTGTTATTATATAGAACCTAGTCAACCTATTTGACTACACAGACAAAAACAATGGCTGACAATGCAAACAAAATTTGAAGAAAAACACCGGGAAAAAAAAGAACCCAAAAAAGTGAATTTACCATTTATAACACTTGGAATCTACGTGATAAGCCACGTATTACCTTTTTTATAAAATGCCTGAAAGACTATGCACAGAAATCTCATTTGGCCAGTAAAAAAAAAAAAAAAAGATTTGAGAAATATTAATGGGTTACGCACAAATAAGCATACTAGACATGGGAAGCAACTTACAACTAAGATTAAGAGAAATGAAACAGGACTCATGTGGCAGTGATAGGTACTAACTATCTTCTCTAAATCATTGCCATCACTTTCACCAACTTAAGGGACCAACCTGCATCTGAATAGTTTGCCACTATGGATCTCTTCTGTTTCACCACTGCTATACTTCAGAAGTTGGATATAAAGAGCAGTGAGGAATGAACCACCAGAGCTTTATGGAATGAGCAAAATAGTTTTTTGCCTTTAAGCCATAAGTATTTTCACTTAAAGCATCACTATACTACACAATGAGCACAATATTGCTTTTTTCTATTTTTTTTCCATGTAGTAGGGAGTTAGGAGCTGTAGTATAGGGCTGCAATTGAGGGGATAGGGTCTGTAGTAGGGAGTTAAGGGGTGTAGTAGGGGGTTACACACTGAAGTAGGGCATAGAGGCTACAAGTGGGGGGATAGGGGCTGTATTAGGGAGTTAGGAGCTGTACGAGTGGAGTTAGGGGCTGTTAGGGGCTGCACTGGGAGGGTTAGGGGCTGAAGCAGGGCATATGAACTGCCATGGGGGGATATGCACTGCTGTTTGGGTAAAATGGCTGTAGTAGGGGGTTCAGGGCTATAGTATGGAGTTAGGAGCTTTTGTATATGGGCTGCTACTCGTGTGATAAGGGCTTTATTAGGGTGTTAGGGGCTGTAGTGTGATGCTCTTGTGATGTGGGGGGTAGTTGCTGCAGAGCCAGATAGACAGTATAGTGTTAGGAATACAATGCTATTTATTATCATAATGGAGTTAGGGGCTGTAGTGGGGGGTTAGGGGCTAGAGTAGGGTACAGGGGCTGCAATTGGGGGAATCTGGACTATAGTATGGAGCTGAGGGCCGTAGTAGGGGTTTAGAGACTGTAGTAAGGGTTAGAGGCTGAGCTATGGTGTAGGGTAAACAATTGGGGATAGGGGCAGCAATTGAGGGGAGAGGGGCTGAATGAAACTGAGGCTTACCTTGGGCCAAGGAGGGGGGAATCCTGTTTCCTGGTGGTCAGGTAAGAGATGTCAGGTAAGAGATTTTGAAGTTAATTGAATTTAATATACCTCAAGTATCCCTGCTTTTGTGGAAGAAGGAGCTACTGGATTAAATATCATATCAAAGCAGCTTTACTTATTAATAAGCCAAAATCTACCTGATCTCTCCCCGTCCCTCTTGGCTAGTGTCTCTGATTGCCTCTCTGCTATTTCTAACTGGATGGCTGCCCACTTCCTTAAACTAAACTTGACCAAAACTGAAATTCTGGTCTTTTCTCCCTCAAGTGTTGTTACTCCTGTGTCTGTCTCCCTCCAAGTCAACAGTGCTACCATCAGCTCCACCACACAGGCTCGCTGCCTAGGTGTTCTCTTTGACACCGACCTCTCCTTCAAGTCTCATGTTCAATCTATCGCCAAATCCTGTCATTTCCATCTCAAAAACATTGCGCGCACCCGCCCCTACTTAACGCGAGACACGACTAAGGTGTTGGTCCATTCCACTGTCCTTTCTTGCCTTGACTACTGTAATCCGCTTCTCAGTGGTCTTACGTGCTCCCAACTTGCGCCGTTACAGTCCATAATGAATGCGGCGGCGAGGCTCATCTTCCTGTCCGCCCGCACCTCCCATGCCTCACCCTTCTGTCAGTCCCTACATTGGCTTCCTATAAAATATAGAGCTCAATTTAAAATTCTGGTTCTTGCTTTCAAATCTCTACATAATGCTGCTCCCACCTATCTATCCTCCCTTATACACAAGTATGTCCCGTCTAGGCCCTTACGATCTGCTGAAGACTTACGTCTATCTTCTGTCCGTACTCCCACCTCTGATGCTCACCTTCAAGATTTCTCGAGGGCTGCACCGTTCCTGTGGAACTCGCTTCCCTCCTCCGTTAGATGCTCACCCAGTCTCCACTCCTTCAAAAAATCGTTAAAAACCCACTTCTTCATAAAAGCGTATCAATTAAACTGTTAATAGCTCCTGACTGATTCCTCTTCTTCACTGTTACTAGTCTAATACTATCCTTACCTTTTTGTGTCATTTCACCCCACTTCCTCTAGCATGTAAGCTCATTGAGCAGGACCCTCAACCCCTCTGTTCCTGTGTGTCCAACTTGTCTGGTTACAACTACATGTCTGTTCGTCCACCTATTGTAAAGCGCTGTGGAATTTGATGGCGCTCTATAAATATCATAATAATAATAATAATAATAATAATAATGTTTAAATGTCCTCTATTGCACATTATGTTAGTTTTACAATATTGTATCTCCTGCATTATTCATTTCATTCTAGACCCTGCAGGAGCAGTTGTGTGTGATTAAAGTTCAATTTGCATAGCAGGGTGATAAAAGTTTCTAAAGCATGTTAACATCTGATTGCAAATTAACTCATTTTTTTTAGCAGGGGAAAAATATTTACACCAATACTGTGCCATTAAGCTAAAGTTGTTTTGGTGCCTATAGTGTCCCTTTAAGACACATATACACCTAAATACACTGTGCAAGTAAATAGTTTAGGAAACATGCATACAAATAGCACAAACAGACACTGCAAATAAAGGGTTCAACATACAAACATTTACAATGTAAATAAGGAGTTCAACAAACAAGTAAAGAGTATAAAGACACACATTCACAGTGAAGGAAAGGTGGCAACATAGACAAACATATACAAGGCAGATAAGGGGTCATATGCAATACACATAGCAAGTCAAAACATAATCATAAACCCTAGATGCAGTACATGTAACTAGTCAGAACATATTCATAAACCCTGGAAGCAAGGGGTTTAGACACATACACTGCTGGAAAAATATAGTTGTTAACATACACCTATAAATATGCACAGCAACAATAAAATAATGTAAATACACAATATGGGGTACACAACATGTAAGGAAAATGTCAACACATTTTAGGTGTGACTGCCAACAGTTAATTTTTTCAGTATATCATTAATGTACATATTTATATTGATATAATCTGTTAAAACTCATAAAATTACTTTAAACACGTATCATAGGTTTGATTAAATAAAAGTTTATTAAAAAGGAATTACTATTTTACCATTTAAAGGTTAAGTTTTAAGAGAATATTTAGGTATTTTTAGATAATTGCATGACAAGGATTTCTATAGTACTTTTGCATTTCTCAATTTCACACATTTTACAAATTAACAAGTGTGAATCTGCCCACATTACACCAACACAGAAAAGACAAACATATATTTGAAAGATTATTTTTTTTCTCAG